CACGGGGGGGCGGGGCGGGCGGACCCCAGCCACTCCCAGGGCTGCTGCAGCAGGGGCTGTGGTGAGCAGAAGAAATGGGGTGAGGGGGGCTGCCACCCACCCCTAGCACCATGAAGAGCCCAGTGCCACCCCTACTGCAGTCCCAGGAATGGCAGACACCACCTACTTGCAGCCACTGGGCTGTGCCGCGCCCCTCTCCCCACCCCTTCCCTGGCCCCAGCCTCATTCCCTCCCTCCCTCCCTCATGGCCCTGGGAATGCTTCCCTATCAGTTTCATTGTAAACTGGGCTCGCTTTATGCAAATTCGATTTATGTGCCGGTCTCTGGGAACGCATCTACCACATAAATCAAGGGAAACCTGTACTAAAGCAGAGTGCAGTACAGGCAGTTACTGCACCATGAGCACGGTGCATGGTCAGATTTCACCTCTACATTGCTGTAGCAATACACTCTACCGGGGCAGCGTGCTGCTACGGTGACATAGCTGGTGATCATGTATAGACCTACACAATTGCTACGTCGCTGCAGCGTGCAATACAGTGACATAGCACATCACTATGTCACCATAGGGAAATGTGTAGATGCGCCCAATGCGCAGCAAAGGTTACCTCTAGACCTCATGGCAGGGGAGAGAGCAAAAGTGTCTAAGCAGGACATATAAAACAATAAATATGACCCTAAACCTGGACTCTCACTCCATGTGATAGACTGCTCTGTGCATGTCCTTTCACAGCATCTGATGAAGTGAGTTCCAGCTTGTGAAAGCTTATGCATCTCTGATTTAGTTAGTCTATAAGGTGCAACTCTGTCCTGCCTTCTGCCCAAGCAAAGCAAATATTAAATTAAGGGCAATGGAGCTACTCGGGTGGATAAAATTCTGCACGTGCTGAAGGCTTTGCAGGATTCAGTCACATCTATGGGCTTTAAATTGGGGCTATGAGAGAGGAAGGGAATGTTAATAGCCAGAGTGAAGAGGCAGTGGAAGGTACTATGGTTTCTTCAGATTTCCTTACCACAAGGGCTCTTCCCCTGATAAGGTACCTTGTCTCAATAATTAGGTCAGTATTTTGTAAAACTGAACAGCACCCCACAGTTAAGAAATAATTTATATTATCCAGACTCGGGTACAGCAGTATAACTTCTCCAATGACTATTTGGTGGCAAGGAAAATAATGTCCATGACAAGACATCATGCTGCAATTTCTTTTCTTCTCTGTCAGATAACGTGTGACTGTAGCCCCCAGGAAAAAACAGAAAGTGCTGGAAAGGGGGACAAAGACCAAATTTCCTTGAGCCTGGAATCTCCTGGCAAACTGAGAATTGCTTTCATGCATGAAACTGGTTTCTTTTTAAATGCTTTAAATTTTCCTAATATAAAATAAATAGGAAAGGTAAGAAATCAATGCAGAGAAAATCTTTTAAGGTATCTCTTTAATAAGTTCCTGGTTTTATTTCAACAAGTTATTTAAAACACACCATTATGTTGGAAAGCACTATTTACAATCAAGCAAATATTTTTGATCTAGAGGCAAAAAATCAGACTTCCTTATAGCTCACAGGCAAACTAACTGTCAGACTGCATTTAGGCTGCATGGGAGAAGCAATTAAACTTTCTGGAGTAACATAGCTAGAGATGATGGAAATCACCAACCAAGGCAAGTAGGTCACATTAGCAGCTCAACTGCTCAGGATGACAGGTTCCATGGAGAATGGATTGAAAACACAGCAATGACAGCACTTATTGTTACAACTGCATTTCAGAGGCTGAATGTAAACAGAAGAAAGGCAAAGAACAAGTTGTGGAAAGTTGGCAGAAAGCCCAAGAATTAGTTGTGCATATTGAGGGAGGAAAAGCCAAGCTCCTTGGGTAATGGGACTGGCTGGAAGGGCAAACTTAGAACTGCTTTCTCCTGTTTCTTTCTACTGCGATGAGAGAAACCGGAATCTGTTGTATATAAACCAAAATATGCCTGACTCATATTGCATGTTTCTCCTACAAATAAAAACAAACCAAGCAAGGTCCCAGGTACTGACAAAGCCTCTTGAGCTAAAGAACAGTATTTTTGGTTCTTTCTGTATATGTAGGTGGTCTTGTATATTGAACACTGGACAAATGAGTCTGTCAAGCAGCAAATCAGTCAAAAAATTGGAACCTGTGAACCATTGTTGAAGGTTGAGAGACAAAGGAAGCTGCAGTGGTTTGGTCACATGATGAGAAGGCTGGACACATTTGCGAACACCATAATGCAGGTGTTGCGCAGTGGAGGGAAAAAGAAAAAAAAAGGTAGACCCAAGGGCCGCATCCATGAGAGCGAGCACATGCCTGTTGCAGCATCTCAAACAGTTTGAGGCACTGCCAGAGGTATGACATGAACAAAAAAAAAAAAATGTTCCCCACACTGCAACTATGCAGCACATACTCTAAGTTTGATATCAGGAAATCCTGGTATCAAAAGAAAACATGCCAGAAAAAGTGGCTCAGGGCGTGCTCCTGGAGTGTGCCCTGAAGCAACTGGAGGCTGGGTCCTCCAAAGAGATGCTCTAGGACCTGGCCAGAATGTCACTATGCCTGCCCCATGCCCTTGCTGCTCACCGTGCTGGAGGAAATAGATGCAGGGCAAGGCTGCCAGTAGTGGCTAGGACCCAGGCTCTGTTCTCAGTAAGCAGGGACCGTGTGGGTCCCCCACTTGCCCCCTCCACAGTGCGTAGTGACCCACCCCCCAGCAGCAGCAGCAGCATGTCACTCATGTCCCGCTGTATGCCACGTGGAGGTAGGAGCTGGCCCAGCTCAATGGCACACCTCTGCCTGCAGTGCCGGGAACCCTGAGTGGCAGGAAAAGCCAGCCTGGATCTGCCCAAAGGTGCATGCCAGTGGGCTGGGATGGCTCTGTGCTCCATGTGTAGCGCCTGGGCCTCAGGCAGCACCATGTGCTGTTGGGGACCTCTGCGTGTAGCAGGCCATGAGTGATGCAAGGGCCTGTGGCTAGCTACTGCTGCTTTGAGGGGGCCTGTGTGCCATGAGGAGGGCAGGTAGGGAGCCCACTCCTCCCACACAGTCCCCCCACAGCCCAGTTCCTTTTACAATCTCTCCCCACAATCCACCCACAAACTCTACACCCTCACACACAAACCCCACACCCACCAACCCCCCCCATACTCACAAACCATGCTCCCCCCCCAAATCCCACACCCACAAAACCAGCCATGCCTCCACCCACAAATCCAACCCCCACAAATCCCACAACCCCTCTCACAAATCCCCACGTGCACAAACTTCCCCCACAAACCCCTAACCCTCACCCATATAGCCACCCACAACCCCACCATATACCCACCCACAACCCCCCACAATTCACCCACAAGCCCCATACCCCCCCTTACAAGCTTCATACCCCCCACAAACTTCACCCCCAAAACCCCATACCCACCTCTACCCCCCACAAACCTCCCAAATCCCCCACAACACTAGGATCCCTGCTGGTAAGGCAAGTGGCAGAACCTGGACAGAGGAGCCTGCCCAGGGCCAGCATGGGGGACTCAGCTGGAGGGCAGATGAGGTGGCTGACCTCCTGGTCATTTGGGGCCAGAAGGACATACTTCAGAAGTTCAAAGCAGGCTACCGCAATGAGCACACCTTCCGGGTGATAGCTACACAGATGGCAGAGCGGGGGCACCAGAAGAGATGACAGCAGTGCCACACGAAGGCCAACTGTGCAGTCATAGCCCATTGGTAGCTGGCCCAGAGGTGCAGGAAGCTCTGCTACAGTGCCCATACCACAGCTCAGATGGCCATGAGGTCCCCATCTGGGTCTAGCAGGTGTGCAGATCCTGTTGCAGGTGGCAGCAGGTCACAGCTAGGCAGCAGGCCCCATTGCCAGACTGTTGCAGTGGGTAGAGGGTGCAGGGGCCACTCTAGGTTAGGACTGCTTCAGCAGTCCAGCTAATGCAAGGGATAGTGTCCCAAGATACCAACTGGCTGGAACCTCAGAAGCTCCTGAGGGCACATATCCCTGAGCTGCTCACCAGGGCAACTTTTTATACTACCTCTAGCTTCCCCTGGCTGAAGATCCAGGAGGAACTGGGCAGGGTCAGTTTACCCCAAGTGGCACAATTTGCCCCATGCCAAAGTGCATGTTCAGGCACATGTGCTGAGGCGCAGATCTCCAGCACAAATTTGTGCCAGTGCTACTTAAGCTGCTGCAAGTGCACATGCCTGCATGTGTGGATGCACCCAAGAAGAACTGGGGAACCAATATTAAGGACTGTTCAAGGCTTCAACTGACAGTGCACAAAGCTAGCCAAACACAGGGCAAAGTGAAGGAGGGTTGTTACAGCATCTAAGGTGCTGCAGCCCCAGTCACAGCAGCCTTGGGACTGACCTGACCTGAGGTTGTAATTAATCTTCAATCAGATGTGTTACTTTACTGAACATGGACACTGTTTGGCTCCCAGGAAGAAAGACTGAACTCCAGTTGGACTTGTCCCTCTGAAATGGGTGCCGAAGAAAAAACCTATTACAAGTGCTTCTGAAGGAGAGGGGGTAAGGTAATGTTTTTGGGATGGCTCTATATGCAGAATAGACCTACCTATACAATTGTTATTATAGTCCTGGGAATTAATTTAGTAAACTATTTTTCAGGATCTCTACTGTGCTTCACTGAAAGCTCATCTTCCAGATAAGAACATGATGCTATAAAAGAGGATGATATTTTATTACTCCCTTTTGCTCTGTCTTGCTCCTTATTTCCTGGAATCAGCAATGGTTGCTTCTTTTATGTGGAGAATCTAATATATTTTAAGTATTGTCCACAGCCACTGACTTGGTTGTCAGTATTAAAATCAGAAGAATGGTTTTGTTGAGAGCAGATTTCTGTCTAAACTATAGCAACATGCTGCATTTTGTATATACTGTATGAATAATTGTGGTATATCAAAATGTGTTTATTTAACTATCTGTGATAAATGAGGGTGTTTTGAATGATCAGTCACTACATCACAAAACCAAATTTCAAAGGTCAGATTGCTTTATTCCAATATCCCATATCTCATTTGGATTTTTTTTTTCCTTTCCGTCTCTCTCAGTGGTGTGCTCCAAAGAGAAAATGCATCTTTTTTTTTTTTTTTTTTTTTAAACAGTCTTCATTATTTGGTGTATTTTGACTCTTGATGTAGGCCGCTTAAAGAATATTTTTTTAAACTGGTATAATTTCTGTTTGAACTTTTAAATTCTTGAGCCCTTGAGCACTTTATTTCCAGTTTTCAAACACACATAGATTAACTTGTTTTCTCAACTTGTAAAGATAAAAAAAAAAAACCCAAAACAAAAAACAAAACAAAACAAAAGCTTTGTATTTATAATCCCCAATCCTTTCTTTTACTATTGCTTCTTAGATCCACCCTGTTTTCTGTTTCAGAGTGCTGACAATGTACAGGTTTGTTGAAAAGCTAAATTCCTTGCAACTTAACTGCCATTAAGACAGTAATACTGCTATAACATAATCTTGTTATGAAGTAGGATCGGACTGGAGCCTTAAATAGCCCACTTGTAGCCTGAAACATCTTGTGCAATGGATGTATGTATGTATAACTGGGCACAAGCAACCAAGTTTTAAATGTTTACAAGACACTCCTGACTCACAGGCTTTTTGCCCTCTCCTTTAATGGGAATGGGAAGATGTGTCCTGTCAGCTCTTGTTTCTAATAGATATGAAAATGGAAATGTTAAACTGTGCTGTTGATTACTCCCTATATGACCACAGCTTTTGAAGTCAGTTCCCTAGTCCACAATATACGTATTTAAACTGATAGAAATGCTAATACCACATGTGGTACCAGAAAATGCCATTTCATTTACTGATATTCCTTTTTGTTTTTAAATTTACTTACTGATGGGGTTAACTACATTGCTTATTAAAACAATAGAAAAAGAGGGCTGGAAAGCACATCATCTAGTCCAGGGGTGTCAAACCCTGTGCCTGCAGGCTGGGTCACAGGATCCAGGGCCCCATTGGACATGGCTGTCAGTGGCAAGGGGGGCAAGTGAGGGCTGCTGCTGCTGCTTAGCCATGGCCATTTGCTGTGCTATTGCCACTTTGGCAGCAGTTGCTTGGGCTGGTTCTACTGCCTCTATCACTGGCCTTGCCACTGCTGCTGCCACAACATGCCTTGCAGATCTAGCCTGCAAGGAGCCCTGGGGTTTGGATGTAGCCCATGGCATAGGGTAAATTTGACATACTTGATCTAGCCTAAAGGTGGACAAACTGTGGCATGTGTGTGTGTGTGTAGCAGTCTCATACCCGACCCACTTCTGCACTGAGGCATGGATGGCCCAGCTGAGCTAAGCCAGCTGTCATTGCACTGACTGGAAGAGCCCCATTGGTTGGCTTGAAGCCTAGGGGCAACAGGCCAAAGATGGGCTGGAAGACAAGGAGGGGTAGATTGCATGCCGAGACACCAGAACAGGTCTGGATGCTCTCTCTGCTGCCAGAGTACCCAGAGAAGAGCTGGATACTCTCCCCACTGCCAGGGTGCCCATAGAAGTGTTGGATGCTTTCTCCACCAGAGAGGAAGCCAGCCACCTTCCCCATGGCCAGAACACTTGGGGGAAAAAATCAGATGCTTTCCCCGCTGCTGGAGTAGCTGGGACTCAGCAACACAAGGCTGGGGAGTGCCCTACCTTGGATGTGGCAGACTACTGCCCGGGAGCCTGCACCAAAGGACCCAAGTCAGGTAGGACAAGGCAAGTGCAGCCCAGGGGAGCATGAAGGGTGAGCCAAGGGAACAGCCACTGTGGAGAGCCTTTTGGGCATGGTGGGCCCAGCAGGTGCACCTTCAGACTAGAAGCGCCCCAGCAGGAGGTTGGTAGGAGAGTGGGCCTTGCTCGGGTGATGGTCATGGCAGGACAGAGCCATACCTGGCCTAGCACCAGAGCAAGAAGTCCCACACAAAGATGGCAACCCACCAGGAGGTATAGGGGCCCAACGGTAGGTGAAAGAGTTTGGGACCTTGTGTGCCCCTGGTCCATGCCCCAGGAAGGGGGAAGCTCAGTGTTACAGGGCATTATTGCTCTACCTGGCCACCAGGTCTGAACAATTTTGAGTTACATTACCTGTTTAGTTCCAGTTTTGTGAAGATAAAAGACAGTGGCAAGATTCTTGTGGATTTAATCCACATTGAACACCTAGCAGAGAAGGCAAGGCCACATTGCCACTTGATTCATCATCAGGGCTGCCTCCAACACCTGAGTAGAAAGGGGTGGGGTGTAGGGGAAGAAGAGCCCCACAGAAGTTATGCCAATATGGTCACATCTGGACCACCAGGGAACCATTTATACTACTCCCAAGCCCATGAAGGTTCACTTAGCAGAAACAACAAAGTTGTGGCAAGAAAATAGGCCATTTGCAATGTGACCCAAGAGGACAGGATGCACCCGAGACCTGTTGGCAACCATGTTGGGTCTGAGAATGCCACAGTGGCAGATACAGCAGGGAGCAGAAAGCAGAACAGCAGTTCAGACAGAGCACAAAGCAGGGAGCAGAAAGCAGAGCAGCATACTGGGCAAGGAAAGGGGATCAAAGTGGCATTCAGAAAGAGTTCAGAGCTAATTTGTAGAGCACCTGCTAAAAAAGTTGGCCCCCAATAGTCTAGCCCAACCTTCAGTAACCTAACTGGTAGTGTGACCACCCTCAAAAGTAGTAACTGCCATTGGCGCTACAGTAGTCAGTACTGCCCCATCCATCGTGGCTGATCAGGGCATGGAACTGCCCTGCCAAGAATTTTGTTAACTCCTGGCTCAGGGCAGGTGTGGCAGGTCCGCACCCCACTCACCACGCCGCCAGGCTCCAGGTGGCCAGTCTGCATGCAGGCGCTCCAACGGCCTGCAGCCGGAAGTGGGATCATGGATTGGGTCGGCTACTCAAGGATCCTGGGACAAAAGGAGCTGGGCAACCACAGGGGGGGAGCAGGAAGGAGGGAGCACCTGTGGCGCCTCCAGATACCTTCCCTGCAGCCAGCATGGGCCAGCAGAGCTGCAATCTGATGGACCACATGGGCAGCATGGCAGCCCCAACTGCAGCAGGGAAATCTGAGCTCTCATTTCTTAAAGGAATGGAGTCCACCCAAACCAGAGGTGTCCCACACAGACCAGACCGAGGAAAGAAAGGGCCTGGGCTTCAGCAGAGGGGTAGTCACCCATGGAGCCAGGGGCTCAGAACCCACCAAGACCTTACCCACACTGGACGTGGTCCACAGGCACATGCAGGGTGGCTGGGGCAGGACGGAGGTGGCCCAAGATGCACCGGCAGGGCCCGCCAGGGAAGCGAACTCACCAGGGAGCAGGCTACTGAACCCTCAATGCTGACTTGCCTTCAGGCCCTGAGACCCAGAGTTGGACAATGCCAGGCCCCTAGGGGAAGCAAGGGAGTGGGAAGTCACCCCATAGGGTGCTATTAGAGGTGGCTGGGGGACAGCCAATTCAGAGCCCAGTGCTCTTGGGGTCATAGTCCTGACACAGGAGTTACATGACAGTTGCATGGTGGATCCCACACTTAGGGGAGGAATTACCAAAGAAGAGCCACCCAACATGGTGAGCATCATTGCTCTGCTTGCCCTCACCCCGGGAAGAATTTCAGTTCTAGTATTGTTTGTTTTCTGATAAGAGACACCTATACCACCAGCTGGGTAAGCGGGGCAGAGACAGACTGCCCAGAAGGAGCAGACAGTGCCTGCAGCACATCCGGATCCCATCAAGACCTAGGCCAGACACCCAAGTGCAATGGGGTGGAGTGAAGGGGAGGTAAGGAGCCCCACAGAAGAAGCACTGGTTGAGGCGTCCAGGGTTTGGAAGACACTGAACAGCATCATCCAGTGGAACCTCAAGTAACATCAAGTCATAAAAGGTGAGTATAGACCCTGGTGCAGAATGCTTAGGTGGGCAGAGCAGGCCAGCAGCAATGGTGAGCACAGACCTGCCACAGCAGGATCATCCTTGTCTAAACCATCCCAGCCAAGTGTTTCTCTAGCCTGCACTTAAAAACTTCCACTGATGGAGACTCCACAGCCTCTCTTGGTAATCTGTTCCAGTCCTTAATCACCCTCAGACCTAGAAAGTCCTTCCTAATATTTAACCTAAATCTCCCTTGTTACTGTTTAAGCCCATTTATTTCTTGTTCAGCTCTGAACACTTACAGCATTATTTTGGCACACATTCTTGGTTTTCCTTATCAAAGTGTTTTAAGTCTTAGTTCCACTGAAAACTAGACTCTCTCTAGTAGCTGCAGTCATATACAAAATAATACAAAAGATCTTTTCAGATTATCTTTTCCCTGCCTTATTCAGGAAGACAATTGTAAAACATCCAACCCTTGTCTATGTACGATCCTCCAACTCATTTTCTATTTCACACAAATCTTGCTGGTCAGATAAAGAATTCTGCTTATGAGGCAGAAAATCCATTGAAGATAGCAGATCAACCCTCAGAGTAATACTTCTCATTATCAACAGGAACAGATGAATTTTTGTGAAGTTGCATCATATAAGATCTGACCCAAGGGTGTATTTTGATTGGACAAAGCAATGATGGTATAATCTACTTTCTTAACATAACGATGACAACATGCATGATTATGAACTTTTAACAGAAAATACAGGAGAGATTGCCATTTTGTAGGTGCAGACAGTTTCATCTTTGCAGATGTATCTTTTTCTTTGGGAAATGTTTTGCATCAATTTCAAATTCACTGGATGATCTAAATAAACATGCTTATCAGTTCCATGCAAAGAATTATACATAACTTTTCATTGGATCTCATTTAGTGCTACTCTGAGTGTTTTCTGTTTCTCTAACATCACTTTATGATTAAAAGGTTTTGAAGTCTTCAAATTATCATGAAAGGAAGAATAGTACAACATTTCATGGCATATAGCTTGGTGGGGTCAGCTGACAACTTTAAAAGGTGTACATGTCTAAAAAACCAACAACAACAACAAATTTTTCTTGTCTTTGTTTTCTTCTGGGGAAGAAGTGGAAAGGAAGAATGGTCTTTACCTATGGATATGCCGTGGTGTCAACAAGAGGTAACTATGAGATCTAAAACAGAGTTATTAGAAAAGAGGATCATTGGACCATCATTTGGGGGTTGCCAGGGACTGATGATCACTACCTGCTTATATTAAGAAGGCAAAAAGAAAATGATCCCAACCTTTGCTGCTGCCGAAAAGCTAATTTCCCAACACTAAGGACAATTATAAGTAACTTGATTGGGAAGAAACTTTTAGATTAAAAAAAAAAAAAAAAAATGAATACAAATTCAGAGTTCTTTAAGGGGAGTTAATTAGATGGTCAAAAGGCCACAGTCCCACAAATCAGGAGAATAAATGTTGAAAAGTTTGTGCTGGATCAGTTTTGAAGTAAAGGCAGCAATTAGAAACAAAAAGAGAAATATGTAATGGAAAGATGGGGAAATTGATAACAAGCAATACAAATTAGTTCATTTGTGTAATAATGTTGATGTCTGTGCTGTCAGAGGGATTGCAGATTATTAGTAATTTACTGAAACTCATTTTTCCATGTGTCCCACAGCAGGAGCTAAATTATTTGCTTAGGGTCATAGAGGAAGTCAATGGCATGTCAGGGAATTGCACCTCAGTTTTCCAAGCTAGTACCTTTACCACCAGGCCACCATTCCTCACTATCATTGTAACTTAGTAGAAAAATCAGCAAGGGCAGCCAAACACAGCAGGGAAAAGTCCCTTCTTTCAGACAGCCCCAGGGGTGGGGCTGGGCTGGGCTAGGCTGCATCAGTCCAGCCCTGACTGAGCAACATGTAGCAGGCTTACATTTCAGGGCTTGGGTTGAGTCCCAGGCTTGAAATACTGCTGTTTTGATTGGTGGAACCCATCCATCAATCAGGAGGCAGAAAGGGAGATAAAATTATGCTCTTTTCCTGAGGGGAGGGGGAGAGGAGCTTACCTGGACCTGATTGAAGGCTGCAAACTGTCAGGTCCAGAAGACTTCAAGGGCAGAGCCCTGGAGTGTATAAAAGGAGCTGCATGCCCAGCATGAGGGAGATGCATCAGGAAAAGAGAAGAAAGAAGAGCGGGGCTTAGAAGAGCTGAGGAGAGTTGCTCAGCAAGGCGAAGCGGTAGCCCAGGAAGAGCCCCTGAAGACTTCTATCAGCAGGGAGCTGCGGACAGCTCCAGCAGTTAGGCTCTCAGTGCACAGCACAGCGCATGGTGTCCAGACCCTGGGAGCTGCATGAGGCAGCTTGGGTCTGCCACCTCTGGTGTGCGGCCAGAAACATGGTGCACAAGCCGGTGCACAGAGCAGGATCTTTGGAGCCCCTTGGGCAGCTTAGGTTCACAACCCCCTGCATGAGGCTAGGAGCTCGGTGCAGGAGGTGCTGCATGGAGGGTAAGAGACCCTGGGAGCTGCTTGAGGTGGCTTGGGACAGCAGCTCAGTGCAGATGACGCTGCCCAGAAGGTCCAGGAGCAGACCAAGCCCTAGTGCTGCACAAGGCTGTCCAGGCCTCCAACCCCTAGCACTGCACAAGGCTGTCCAGGCCTCCAACCCCTAGCACAAGGTGAAGCACCCACTGCACGCAGTGGTGCATGTGGCTCTAAGCCAGGCTGGCAGCAGCAAAGTCAGGTGGCAGGAAAGAGCTTGACCTGGAGAATGAGAGGCAACCCTCCAGGACTGTGGAGTAGTAAGTTACCTTGGAGAGAGGATCCCAACAGGGGAGGGACCCCCCAGGGTTGTGAAGGGGCACCATGTGGGCCACTCCTGGGTGATAGCGGGGGAGCTTAGGAATCTTTGGGGTCTTCCTCTCCTTTTCTTCCCTGCCACTTCTTTCTTGTAGTGGTACCTTGGGAGTGGGGTCCCTGCCCTGTAAGGGCACCCAGATAGTCTAAGGATTGCTGGTTATGCTTGTAGACTGTGCCTTATGGTTCATGTGAATATGTTGAAGTAATAGTTTGTATATTAATAGTTATAAGGTTGCCAAATCAATATCCTTTGTTCTGGGTTGTTCTATGGTTCACCTGTATTTTTAAATAATAATTTTGTGTGTGTGTGTGTGTGTGTGTGTGTGTGTGTGTGTGTGTGTGTGTGTGTGTACACACACACATGCACACTATATATGGTATAGGGTTTATTGTTTTGTAAATTTGTACATATATCTATATAATTAATGTCCTTACCCTTCAATGGTTTTGTTGTAGTAATACATTTGCATATAGTTAAGTAATTATTGACTGGGCCTGACTCTATAGGGGATGGAGGTGGCCGCTGGGCTGTTGTGTCTCTCCATAGCACACCACCCACCCTGCCAATAAATCCCTCAGTTGGAGAGGGGAGTACATACCCATGTACACCCAGGCTAGAAACATATTAACCCTAGGGAACATAAGTTCCTTAAGGTGCTCCAAAGTGGAGCGCCTTCATCTGATCCTTCATTTGATGAGAGTTAATTTGTTGCGAAAACATTCTGCAGCTGTGCACATGTATCATGGCATGGCTGGAGAGATCTTTTAGAGGGACTGATTACATGACAAATGTAACTTCTATCTGCACCCTTAGTAACAAGACATGCAGACTATGCTAACAAAATGGGAAACTGTCTCCAAAGGGAGTTGACTCTGAAATGGATCAAGGAGTCATAGTAAGTAATCAACATGAGCTTGTAGTGCAATGTGGTGGCAAAAAGGGCTAAAAGGAATCTTTGAATGGATGTACAGGGGAGTAGTAAGCCGTAGTAAAGAGGTGATTTTACCTCTGTGTGCATCTTTAATTAATCCAAAACTGGATAGCTGTAGGGACTGCAGTGCTTTCCCTGTTTTTAAAAATGGATTCTGGGAACTGAAAAGGGTGCAGAGTCACAGAAATTATTCAGAAACTGAAGAAAAAGCCTTATGGCAGTGATTCTCAACCAGAGTGCTCTGGTACCCTGGGGCCCCATGAGAGCTGTTTAAGGGTGCCATGGAGTGCAAGATAAGCACATGGTCATCCCTGCCCAGCTTCTATGCCAGGAGATAAGCCCTGTAATAAATAATGTTTTAGAAATGGGGTAGGGGTGTAGGTTGTAACCATGTTGGTCTAAGGACATAAGCAGACAAGGTTCCTTGGGTGAATCTGATATCTTTTATTAGACCAACCCAAATAGTTAGAGAATAGTTATTAAGCAAGCTTTTGGGTTAAAAAACCCTTTGTCAGGCTAAGGAAGTTTCAGCAGGTGGTGTGTGCGCTCTTCCTGGATGGAATGAAAAGTCATTAGAAATGGGGTGCCATTCAACTCACAAAAGCTATGGAGGGTGTCTGAACTCTAAAAAAGCTTGAGAATTACTGGCTTAAGAAACTTAGGCCATGTCCACAGGGTACATTTCTGTGTTTGGTAGCAGTTCCCTCAAGTTTGCCACATTGATATACCTAGACTGCCTCATAAACTAGAGCGTTACTGCCTCCATCTGGGTGGTGCTACAGGCAAGCTAAATAGTAAAGGTGGGGGGAACTAACTGGCACTGGCACTCAGATGTGCTAAGTAACCTGCCCAAAGTGCTGCTTAGATGCTTTTATACTGATCCCAATTTTGGAGCAACTTCAGTGGAGAGTGCAGCATGCTTAAGGGTGCAACCACTTGGCACTGTGAGGTTACTATGTATATATGGCCTTAGAGAGCTCTGTATGAATGATCAGGAGGTCACTTAATGACAACTTACCTTCCCAGGGAGAGAAAAAAAAAAGGCTCTTTAACTTAAGAGAGAAAGGTACAACATGAACTATTCACGTGACCTGGAAGCCAGCATGTTCCAGTAGAAAGCTTTAATTTAATAGTGACAGAGACAAACCACTGGCACAATCTACCAAAGGAAGTAATAGATTCTTCATCTTTTGCAATACTCAAATCAGAATTGATTTATTTTTGGGAAGATGTGCATTGGCCAAATACAAGTTATGTTTTAGTTAAGTTATTGGGCTCGGTGTAGAAAGGAATTAGGTGAAAATGAAGGGCCTGTAATATATAGAAAGTCAGGCTAATCATCACTTCCAGACTTAAAGTCTTCTAATCTATTTTTAGCATTTTATTTAGAACAGCTATTGTTGAAATATGCAAAATTAATCAATATCCAAAATGGATAATTACACCCAATTACTAAAAGACACTTAATCCAACTAATACTAGACTTCTGAAACTTTAAGAAAACATGCATTATAGGCAGACACTTTATAGAAACAAATGGAACAATTCTAGGGCTCCACTATCTATTTTAAATTGAAGCAATTTATCGTAAAGCAATTTTAAAGACTACAAAAAGAACAGATTAGAAGCCATCAATTTTAATAATAGCAGTTATTCAACAATCTTGGTAGAAACATTATTGAGATATTCTGACTGCTTTGGAACCAGATTTAATTTAATTTGATATATTTTTTCTTGTAATCAATGTTTTCTACAGCACTTTGCAAAGCAATGAGCTACAGCAGATACTAGTGCAGTAATGAATGTATTGACAAATAAGCAGCAACCATTCTGTTCAAAAACAGCTCTCATGGTCTTAGACTTGGAAATATTATACTGAGAAAAAGAATTTCTGACACTAGCATTATCATCTAGTTATTTCAAAAAGTGCTTTCTTTACATGCTACTGGAAGAGCCATTAAACTAGCATCACTCAGCAGTCTTCCTTCCAGCATCCTCCCCACCTCCAATATAAAGTTTTTCATAGTTTGTAGGGTCGGAAGGGACCTTGACAGATCATCAAGTCCGACCCCTTGCTATGGCAGGAAAGAGCACTGGGGTCAAACGACCCCAGCAAGGTGTTCATCTAGCCTCCTCTTAAAGACCACCAAGAGAAGTGGTGCTGGCTCCTACCCTGGAAGTTGGTTCCATATCCTAGCCGCCCTGACTGTGAAGTAGCGCCTCCTGATGTCTAGTCTGAATCTACTCTCTGCTAGCTTGTGACCATTATTTCTAGTCACTCCTGGTAGTGCTTGGGGGAACAGGGACTCCCCTAATACCTGCTGGTCCCCCCCTGACTAGTTTGTAACAGGCTACTAGATCCCCCCCTCAGCCTTCTCTTG